GAATTCCACTGAGCCCCGACTCAAAACCCTATGTAAGGGTGAGTGGAGTCCATTGGAGACTTTTTACACTCTCTCTCTCTATACTCTCTCTCTAGACTCATTTTAGCCCCGAATCCGCAACCAAACGCTTCCAAATTGTAAGTTCGCTTACCCTAGCTTATTCTAAACATATTGATTTGTGTTTATAGCCCAAAAATCAGACTTAGAAGCAATGGAAAAGGAGTTTACGGCCTAAGAACCTCCTTAGGCCGTAAACACCCAAAAATGAGGCCAAAATGATCGAAAATTGTCCCTATAGGCTTGGAAATAAATTAACGGGATTGCCTAGGAGTGTTTAAACATCAAAGCACAATGATTTAGGGGACAAAAGAGAGTTTACGGCCCAAGCACAAGCTTAGGCCGTAAACACCTCAAAATCATGTTAAAAGGCCCCAAAAACACTCCCAAACCACCCTTAGGCTTCATACATAATTTAGGGACTTGGTATTTTGGGTTTAGATCACTTAAACACATCAAAATGAAGGATAAAAATGAGTTTACGGCCCAAGCACATGCTTAGGCCGTAAACTCCCCAAACTAAGCCAAAATGTTGGTTTTTGTCCCCCAAATGACCTTAGACATTTACCATAAAATACTAGGAAGGATTTAAAGGCTTGAACACAATGAAATGAGGCATGACTTGGAGTTTACGGCCCAATCATTTATCTAGGCCGTAAACTCCCCAAAACCCACTCAAATGATGGTTTTAATCCTCCAAAATAGCATCATACTTCATTAGAAATCACTAGAAGGGCATTAGGGGCTTTAAACTTCCCAAAACTCTAAGGATTAGAGTTTACGGCCGTAAACTCCTTTAGGAGTGGTTCCTTGGCCGTAAACTCATAGATCATACCCTTAGAGGCCTCAAACCCACTCATGCCTTTTGGGAAAAGTGCTTAGAATAAATCAATGAGCAAGTTAGAAGCATAAAACATCCAAGAATATGACCTTGGGAGTTTACAGCCGTAAACTCCCTTGGGTTAGGCCGTAAACTCCAAATTGGTCCATGTTAATGCTTTAAACCCATTCACACACTTGATATTTGAGTTTAGCAAAGTTCCACAACTGATAGGAGACCCTTAGCACCCTTAAACGCTACCCGGGACCCCAAACACTTAACCAAAAGTATTTTCCGCTCCTTTGAGCGTGTATATTTGTTTAATTAGTATTAAATATACTAATTTTATGTGAACATATGATATCATATTTTAAATAGGTCATTGAGTGTATTCGAGTCCTTACGTGGAACCGAACGCCCAAACAGCACTCTCGTCGGACCTACATACACCAGGTGAGTTCATACCCCTGAATGAACCTTTTTAATGTTTTTAAATGTTTAATAGGGGGAATACAAGTTAAACATGTCAGTTATCATATCAATCACATGTGATTGATAACCCGCATGCACAAGATTTTACCACTTTACACTGTTTTACCAAGTGGGACACTATAATGATTTTTACCTATTTCATAACTTTTACTTATACTGATTTATCTAAATTCATTCTAAATTGGTTTATGAAGGATCCTCTAAGGTTTTTTAAACATAGTTTACAAAAGAATACAATTTGTGATCTTCTCTGTACATAAAGGCTTTTCATTAAAGATTTCCCTTTTTGACGTATATTTTTACTTGTTAAATACTGCTGCTTCGCTTATACTTATTTTATACTCCGACTCGGTAACGCTTTCACTTATACTTGTAGTCGCGTATACTTGATGACGCTTATACTTAATCACGCTCTTACTTAGTAATATCGACTCTACTTCACTTATACTTGATATCGACTCTACTTCACTTATACTGGATATCTACTCTACTTCACTTATACTTGATACGCTCTCGCTTCACTTATTGTCGCCTCTACTTCGTGATACGCTTATACTTGTTCGACACTTCTACTTCACTTTCGACCGCTCCTACTTCACTCGTTAAACACTCCTACTTCACAAGAATCACTTATACTTGATACACTTGTACTTTACGATTCTGTTATTCCACACTGTATGAATTCACACCACGATGATATGTCTTCAATTATTACACACTCAATCGTAGTTAGATGTACGTCTGTGCTTATATAGATACATATAAGTAACGATTGAAACACTTAGGAAGGCTTATCCTCCCTATTTCCTTTTCTTCGTTGAGATGTGGTCTGGTGGGATCGGGTGGCCGTCCGAAAGTCGTTCGATTGATTAGTTATATATATATTGTACACGAGCATAGACATACGAGTTTTCTTCAGTCAATTCAGTTAAGAGTCTATACCTCTAGTCTACACTTACATTAGAAACCCACTCCCTCCTAGTAACACACTATCCTCTATTTGGGATGCATCTTCGGGACGCAGCCTTCTCCGTCGTCTAGTTGGTAACCAGAGTCTCCTGTAGGGAGAGCAGACATTGTGTGTATAGGCCTATACAGGATTGACAACCCCACACCCTGACTGCTAGCTACAGTCCACGGCCTACAAAGCCAAGGGGTGACAAATGTCACATTATATAGATGCTTGTAGGGCGTCTAGAACTCTAGTCAGTATGGTTACGAGTATCCTGGGTTGCCTTATAATTCATGGCTTTAAGGTAACGGTATTTCGTCAGCGATTTACAATGTATGCTGATGCCACCTTTTTCAGAGTCATACTATTTTGACCTTGCGAGATGTACCTTTCATTTGGTATCGTCTGCGGTCTGTCTTCACTGTTTTGACCTTGCGAGATGTACCATTCATTTGGTATCGTCTGTGGTCTGTCTTCACTGTTATGACCTTGCAAGATGTACCTTTCATCTGGTATCGTCGTCGGTCTGCGTTCACTGTTTTAGACCTTACCAGCTGTACCTTTCATTTGGTACCTTCTGGGGTCTATGTCTCCATTTGTTAGACTGAACCAGGCGTGACGTTAGTTCAATATTCTCCTGGAGTCTATGATTCTTTTACCTTAGCCATCTGTCCTCACTGCTGAGGCATATGTTATTCCCTGATGTCTCTTGCTTTCTATAATAATCAAATTCAGTATTTTGATAATAATAGCAATTAAGGGAAACTTCTTTTCACCATATTACACTGACCAGTCTTGGTAGAAGGCTGCTTTTGTTAAAGAAAATATAGGATTTTCTGGAAAGAACACTAATACAGTAAAAACTCTTAAACTACTACTTTATAAAGTTATTTGACTAAATGACACTAAATACTTATGAACTCACCAGCATTTGTAAAAATGCTGATACTCGCTTTTCAAATAACTTGTATTCTCAGGTCAGCAATTAGACAGGTACACCCCCGGAGCTGTTGATGAAGATAACTTAGTACCACGCTGTATTTATGCTATTACTTGTATTACTTTAAAGTGTTGTAATGTAACCTTGTAAAACTATTACTATTAATACAATGTTTTGTTGTACTATGATTACTATAATGCATGTGTTGTGATACTTGACATGACGTCATCCACCCCAGAACGTTTCCGTCGTTCTGGTTTTGGGGTGTGACATCAAGCGTGATGATTTCAGGGGTCAATCTGATGTGAGGGTGGATTCATATGCCTCCTGGAAGAAACTCTTAGAATACAGTGGGGTATTTTGGAATAAAATCAATAGACCGGATGGGATACCTGGTGAACCTCTTTTATCAGAGATGATGGAGACATGGAGAAAAATTGATGAGTCGGAATTTATGAGGTTGTTGACTTCAACCATAAGTTTGAAGCATCTTTCCTTCTCGACGACATGATCGGTTGTATTGTAACAGGTCATGACGACGATGTTGACTCTTCTTTCGTATCTGATATGAACGCTTTTAGGGTTAACATCAGCGACGATGGTGGTGGAACATATTCATTAGAGGAAGCGAATGGGCCGGTAGGGGTTACAATTTTTGGTTAGGTTTCCAGATGAAAGAACCCAAATTTATGTTCTTCTGGTATGAACACTTTTAGGGTTAACATCAGCGACGATGGTGGTGGGACATATTCATTAGAGGAAGCGAATGGGCCGGTGGGGGTTACAATTTTTGGTTAGGTTTCCAGATGAAAGAACCCGAATTTATGTTCTTCTGGTGGGGAAGAACGTGATACTCTACAAATAAGGTGCCAAAATTAGGGTAATTGGAATTCAAAGAACCCAATCGGTGCCTAAAATCAAATGTTGATGACTTAACCTTGACCTTCTCAATTACAAACCCTTCTGTACATTAAATTGCAAATATATGTAGATGAGAAAGAAGATGATGGGGTCGATTTTTAGTGAGAAGTAGATACATATGGTTGAGTTATGGTGAGCACAAGAGGTGTGTGAGGAGGTGAGGAGAGAGAACAGAATATATTTTGAGATGGAGAAGATCATGATAATCAAAGAGAGGGAGAAAAAGAGGGGTTTCTACGGTGGTGACGACAGTGGAGCAATGACAGATCTGAGGTTCTAGTTGTTTGTGGTTCATAGGGGGCGGCGACCGGGTATTGAAATTGTTTGCCGGAGGTAGATTACCGCTAGAGATGGCGGTGTGTGGTGTTAAGATTACCGGTTAGGTAAAAGAGATGGAGGAGAGTGAGGTGACGATTAAATACCCAAATCATTTGTAATCCTTCAGTATTTATGGTTATTTTGCTTTGAATGACTCTTTCAACTAAAATTTCGGGATACCCAGATATGAGGAGTTTTGTTATTTTTATTGACTTTTTCAAGTATTTGACCGTATAAGATTTATCTGCATAAACTGAGTGTACATATTGCATAAAGGCTTGTACAACTTAAAATTCAACATTTGACTAAAAATGTTTTATAAGGTAATATATATAATATATATATATATATATATATATATATATATATATATATATATATATATATATATATATATATATATATATATATGGGGTGTAACCTCACATGTGAAGGGGGCAAATGGACTTGATTGAGAATGCTTAGAACATTAATTAATAATACATATATATTCCTTCTACAATAGTTTAAGAAATCTTCACACCCATGTCCATATCCGTACCTATATTATTTTAGAATAACTTCAGGAGGCATGAAATGACACATCTACAATATATTTATCTTAAATACAACTTTAAATTGATAAACTAAGAAGGGCGACCGGTTCTTGATGTGTACGTGACTGTGATTTGTGCAGTTTTTGTTTTAACACGCTCGATCCTATGAACCACACTTTCAACATATTTAAAGTAGGCGTCACCCCAAGGTCTTCTAATCCACATGATCATCGAGGGAACCAAAATGCCAATGGCAAATCCCAGTCCAATGCTCAAAGGAAACCACTTATCGTCATCAGATTCAGCTTTGACATCATTTGGAAGAGGTGGCTTGTTGTCAGAGCTGTCACTTCCACAGTTAACAGCAAGAGGAGGTCCACAAAGATTTGGATTTCCGGAAAATGAAGATCCTCCAAAGGTTGTCATCTGTCCTCCAACAGGGATCCTGCCTGAAAAGTTATTATTGGACACGTTCAGACTACTCAAGAATGTTAACGATGACACGCTTGAAGGAATGACACCTGAAAACTTGTTGCTTGAAAGATCAAGTGAGCCCAACTGAACTAAACTGGAGATGTTTTCCGGCAAGGCACCACCGATTTGGTTTCTTGACAGATTCAAAAACACTAGACCAATCAACCTTGTTAATTCAACCGGGAAATGACCATGAAGACTGTTTTTTGATAGATCCATGTAAGCTACCAAGGAAAGAGTTTTGGTGTACTGAAGAAACCTGCCTTCTATATATACGAACAACCTTTCTTTGTAGTATATTCCACGGTAAACACCATAAAACCGATACTGATTCACAATTCGATCTTTAGACATGGCTGTGAGATTGCCCAAGTTTGTCGGGATCATGCCACTCAGATTGTTTAAGGCAAGATCAAGGACTTGAAGATTCGATAAACCCGGGAAATTTGTAGGGATTCTTCCTGAAAAAGAATTTGATCTCAAGCTTAGAATTTTAAGAGCTGTAAGATGATTAGCTAACCATGGTGGGATATCTCCGGAAAATTTGTTGTTTGCTAGATCCATTGTCTCCAGGCGGGATAAGTTTTTAAGCGATGAAGGAAGCTCTCCTGAAAAGTTATTGTCGTCTAAGTGCAGTGACTGAAGGAAGTGTAAGTTGCCAAAAGATTCAGGAATTACTCCAGACAAATTATTGTATCCAAGGTCTAAGGCTTTAAGATATAAGCAATTCCCAATACTTGGAGGGATGGATCCAATCAACGAATTATTCAACAGATCAATGACTTCAAGTAACACCATTTCTCCTATCGACGATGGGATTTCTCCTGATAAACGGTTACTTGCAAGGGAGAGGAAGTTCAGATTTGGCATGATTTTTCCGATGTTGTATGGAATAACACCAGAAAATTTGTTGAAGGAAAGATAAAATAATTCGACTTCAACACTTGGAAGAGGGATAGGTCCTTCAAACAGGTTCGAGCTCAAATCAACGTCTGCAAACGGAGCAACGTGTAATAAAGATGGTACCTGCCCGTGTATCTGATTGAGCGAAATATTTAGCAAAGATAGATTAAAGGTCGTATCCCAAAACCAAAATGGTATTGAATCAGAAATACTGGCATTGGAGAGATCAAGAAAGTTGATATTTTTCTGAGTTTTAAGCCAATTTGGAAAAAATGGACCTACTTGACATGAACCCAGATCAAGATTTCGGACCTGGAATGGTGGGATCCAATCATCTTTCAAATGTAAGATCAAGGAATTTGAAGAAAGATGGAAGAATGTCAGTTTACTTAGCTTCAAGAAATGGGCTTCGGAAACAATGCCAGACAAATCATTGAAAGAGACATCAAAGTTCGTCAATTCAGACAGCTGACCGAAACTCTCTGGAAGAGTCCCGTTAAACTTGTTCCTTCCAAGTCCCAAACTAGTAAGTCTTTGTAATCTCCCTAAAGACGTCGGAATCGGACCATGAAGCTGGTTATAATCCAATTCCAGTTCTTCAAGATTACCCAACTGACCTACCCATTCGGGAAGTCTACCAACTAATTTGTTGTTGGTCAACGACAACCTCTCCAGATTAGGCATTGGGCTGTTGGATACACACGTGTCCACCCCTTCGAGAACCTCAGGCAAACTTCCTGTCATGTTGTTTCCTGAAATCGACAAGAACTTCAAGTTGCAAAGTTTTCCAATTGAACCAGGAATTCCACCCTCGACGTTGTTTTGAAATAGATTAAGGGAAGTGAGAGAAGTAATGTTGCCAATAGCAGCCGGAATTTTCCCGTGTAATTTGTTTGAAGCAAAATCAAGAACTTCAATCTTTGGCCAGCTTCCCTTAAACAACTGTGTGCAGCTAACTGTGAGGTTGTTATTCATTGCCAAACTTAGGTATCGTAAATTTGGTAGTTCACCTAGACTAAGTGGAACTCTTCCATAAAACCCACAGCTACTTAAATCTATGGAAGAAAGTCTTGTGAGGTTCAAAACCCAATCGGGAAACTTGGAATCAAAGCTATTCATAGAGAGGTCTAAATCCGAAAGAGCAGGAAGATCAACGGGTGAAAGAGTGGAAAGTCCACAACTTGAAAGATGAAGCATTGTTAGTGACGTAAGATTGTTCAACATTTCCCACCAGTTTGGGCCCACTTGTGAGAGGTCAACGTTATTCATCTTGAGATGCTTCAGATACCTAATCTTGGTCAACCATTCAAGAGTTTGGACGTTTAAACTACCAAAGTTGCTTGACACATCAAGATATTGCAAGTGAGAGAGGTTTCCAATACTTTGAGGAATCCGACCACTAAACCCCGCTGTTGAAAGGTTTAGGTATCTCAGATTTCTTAACAAACCAATGAATTCTGGGACCTTATTTTCCGTGAAAGTGTTGTAGCTCAAGTCAAAGTAAATCAACGACTTGAGTTTGAGCAACGAAGGTCTAATCTCACCACTAAGGTTCCAGAAACCATACCTTCCGGGTTGATCATGGCCATAACTCAAAGGATACGGGTTGTGGAGATCAATCTTGTTAACAGCACCGGTTGAGTTATCACAACCAATACCATGCCACTGACAACACTTGTTTCCTTTCCATGATGAAAGCCGATCTTCTGGATCAACAAGACCTTCCCTGAAGTTAAGAAGTGCTTCTAGTTCAGATCGAGTACACTTTTTACCAGCATCATTAGCATAAGAGAAAAGAATTACTGATCTTATTAAGAGAACAACGATTGCACTAGCTATAACTTTATGTGCTCGCATTTTTTCTGTGAAGTGAAACGCTATCTAACAAGTTCGTATATATTTGGTTCTTGGTTAAGTTAATTTTACTTACTTACTAGGAAATTTCCAGTACACTATAAATAATCAGCAGTTGTTGTCAAATGTAATTTCGGTACTATGATCTTTTCAATTTAATTAATAATAGTTGACTTGACCCCGACGGCTAGACCTACAAAGTTTATGCTCCCCACTAATAAGCGTGGCATAATATTTATGTTTACTATTATTGTTGTAAAATGAGTAGTTATAAATTTTGAGTTACTTTTGTTCTAAGTTTGCACAATGTTTTTAACCTTTTATATAAATTAAAATTCCTATTCTATTACAAGAAAAGTACAGATATAACCATTATTTTAAGAAACTAGGAGAGGCGCTCGGGCCAGGTTTGCCACTGTCATGCACACTATCTTTAGCACCAGAGTGTAAGTCCCAAATTTGTTTGATCTATCAATCATATCTAATTGATTGTGCGGAATCTTAATAAATTGAATGATGCAAGATCAAATGGAGAAGAAGAAGAAAAGGAATAAAATGAATCTATGATGTTTATTCTTTTCTTTAGTTTCTCTCTCTAGGACACCTTGATTTGTACACACTTAGCATCCTCCCTAGCCGTATACTCTTATGATTCCACTAACAATATATATATATATATATATATATATATATATATGTGTGTGTGTGTGTATATATATATATATATATATATATGTGTGTGTGTGTGTATATATATATATTAGTAGTGTACCCGCGCGATGCAGCGGCGACGATTTGTTTCATTCTGGCGATTAGTTTCCGAACGAAAATTAGGGTCATTTCAGCGATCATCATATTGTTTTCTTTCGATTTGTTTTATTTTGGCGATTTGTTCCTCTTGGCGATCAATTGACTCTAGACGGACAACAAATACTAATTTTCGTCTATTACTATTTATCTTTTAGTGGACGACGATTAGTTTCATTTAACGAATAAATGTTAAGTGCGGTCTAATGGTGGATCTATTTGTTTAATTTATCCATGTTTTGAGTAATAGTTTCTTTCTAGATGGAGAAAAATGTTATTTTTATAATTATTTTGATTTAAAAAGAATATCATATTCTAAAACAACCCTATACAGTTCTTTATTTGTGCCTTAAGTCACGTCGAAAAAACAACCATACGCTCCATCCTTTGTTAAATTATGAGTCGATTCGAATCTAATTTGGATTTTTAAACATAATCACATATGTTCTTTTTTACACTTTGTGATTGACATGCTTACTGACAAATTTTAGCTTTATGTCTAACATGCATCGTTTTGCTTCATAGAATCTATTCCCAAGTTATGCCAGTTCCATTCAGGGATAATGAATTAGGAGGTTAACAACGTTTCTTGTTTGTCAATTTTAGGTCTATAACATATTTTTTGTGCGTATTACACCATTAAGGTTATTATAATCGTTTACAAATAATTATTTTAACATGAAGAAGCCGATAAAATGATTATTTATAAACGGTTATAACAATCTTAATGGTGTAATATATACAAAAAAATATGTTAGAGACCTAATATGGACAAACGGGAAACGTTATTACCCTCTTAAGTCATTATCCCATTAAACTATAAACCCCTATAATAAATTTGTACTTTTTAAATAAGAAACTTATAGGTCTTGAGGTTGGTAGTTTGGATGTTTTTAACCTCGGTCTTCTTTATAAATGAAAATGGCGGTTTCTTAATGACAATGGAGCTCTTCAGGTTTAAATTGTTGAATTTTGTCATAGGGAAGGTGGTGGTTTTTCGGACGATTTGAGAATAGGAATTGAAGGGGGTGTTTGGCAAAAGATTGTAGGATCCATTAATCACCTCCATGAGAATTGTTGTATTCCTTCTAATTACATGTATAGAGTGGTGGGAAATGAGACTCAAACGAGGTTTTAGAAGGATGTTTGGTGCTTGGATATTCCTCTTAAGGAGCGGTTCAGGAGGTTCTTTGCTTTAGCCTTTAATCAAGATGCTCGAGTAGGTGAATAATGGGATCCGGGGGGATGTAATTTTCATTGGTGTCGGGGGATTAGAGGAGGGGCTGAATCGACCCAGTTTGATTATCTTGTAGAAGGATGTTTGGTGCTTGAATATTCCTCTTAGGGAGCGGTTCGAGAAGCTCTTTGCTTTAGCCTTTAATCAAGATGCTCGAGTAAATGAATAATGGGATCCGGAGGGATGTAATTTTCATTGGCCCCTCCTCTAATCCCCCAACGCCAATGAAAATTACATCCCTCCGGATCCCATTATTCACTTAATCGAGCATCTTGATTAAAGGCCAAAGCAAAGAGCCTCCCGAACCGCACCCTAAGAGGAATATCCAAGCACCAAACATCCTTCTAGAACCTCGTTTGAGTCTCACCCCCACCACTCTATACATTTAATTAGAAGGAATAAAACAATTCTTATGGAAGTGATTAATGGATCCTACAATCTTTTGCCAAACACCCCCTCCAATTCCTATTCTCAAATCTTCCGAAAAACCACCACCTTCCCCATTGACAAAATTTGACCATTTTTACCCGAAGAGCTCCCTTGTCATTAAGAAACCGACACTTCCATTTATAAAGAAGACCGAGGTTAAAAATATCCAAACTACCAACCTCAAGACCTACAAGTTTCTTATTTAAAAAGTAAAATTTTACTATAGGGGTTTATAGTTTCATGGGATAATAACTTAGGAGGGTAATAGCGTTTCCTGTTTGTCCATATTAGGTCCCCAATGTATTTTTTGTGTATATTACACCATTAAGGTTGTTATAACCATTTATAAATAATCCTTTTACCGGCTTCTTCCTATTAAAAGAACTATTTGTAAACAGTTATAATAACCTTAATGGTGTAATACACACAAAAAATACGTTAGAAACCTAAAATGGACAAAACTAAACGTTATTACCCTCCTAAGTCATCATCCCTTCCATTTATTGTTTATTTAAAAATCTTTTCTAAGCCTTTTTGTATAAAGCAATGATCATGCTTAGTAAGGTAATTTTTATTTTTTTCTTTTGTTTTTATTATAAGCAAACCTACTTATTGCTTTAATTATGTCTACCCCTTTCCACTTAATCTTATCCCTTAATAATTACCTTTTACTTTTTTTCCTTAAATAACTAATGATTAGTTAATTATTATGTTTTTTTTATCTTCTTTTAATATATACTAGTTTAGTTTTTTTATTAATCTTGTTTTTTTATTTAATTTATTTAAGGGTTGGTTAAAAAAACATCCTGATTTACCATTTAAAAAAACAAAAAATTTTGATTAAAAAATTAATTGGAAAATGACATTAATGATCTAATCTACTTATTTAATTAATTTAGGGATTGATTAAAAAGATACTCTATCTTATCATTTAGATAACATAAAATTTTGATTAAAAAATTAATTGGAAAAATGACGTTAATGATCTAATCTACTTTATAATCTGTAATGACTTTTTGATTAAAAAAGAAAAATAGAAATTAGTTTTTTCATGTATTAAGCTCATAGCGGTCATTGTTGCATAAGAAAATTAAATGGCAATTCTTTATGCATAAGAAAATTTTGATTAAAAGATTAAATGGATATTTGGTTTTTCATGTAATAAGCTCACGACGCTGGTTGTTGCATTTAATATTTATTACCCAAGAAGCTATCATAAGAAAATAAGAAAATAACATTTTTATTTTAAATTTTTATTAAATCAAATAAGGTATGGAAATAATTTTGTAGTAATTACATGCATACAAAAATGCTTTAATTTTTAAAATTAAATTAAAAATACGTTTTATAAAATAACTTGAAATTATATCAAATATTTATTATAACCAAACGTATTAAAAATTTACTTTAATTAAATATATATTTTGTATTAGAGTATATTTTTTTGTAAACAATATAAACATAAATTTATTTTTCATTCCACATAGGTTATTTTGTCATTAACCAAAAAAAAATAATGATTCATTTTTAGGGAATATTATATCTAGGTTTTTGTGCTCTAACTAAAATGTAATAATTGGTGTGGTAGAATTATAAAATATAGGGTAGATATAACAACATCAGCAGATATACCTTCATCATTTCTCATACATACAATGAAAAACCATTATTGTTTGATTGATTTCGTCATTTATAATAAAAAAGAATATTAAAAACGATCAAAACATTCGACTCATTTTCAAACACCATCACAAACAAATTACGAATTTCTTTTTATAAAAATAATTTCTATAACTCACTTCACATTTTCCATCAAAATTTTAAAGTAAACAGCAAAAGATTTAAAAATTATAATCATTTTCATAAAATTAAGCAATATACATGAGAGTTAAAATACACTCTTAACAAACTAACAACAAATTTTAACACGATTGTACATATTCAAAAATCAACTACAAACATGTATTAGATATTCATATGATCCTTAATTAAAAGAAACAATAGAATAAAATTTAATCATTATTTCACAAATATAAAACATATATAACCGAAAATATCACCATAGATTACAATAAAGGAGAGAATAATTGGTTAAATGTCACCAACTCTACCCTTTCAATCCTTTCGAGTTTTAAAATGTTCATAATCAAACACCAAATGCATAACTAAGATATAGCTTTAATCTATTAATAAAGAAGTTTCCCATACATCCAAGTTATAAAACTAAATTTGGTCATTGGATTTTAAACAAAACTGAAACTTTTACTTAATGTTGATTCTAACATTAAAATAGCAAAATAAAAATTTTGAAATCAACCAAATATCATGAATTTTAGATTTTCATCGCGTTTCATATGCTTTTAATTTCTTTTCAAAAACACAAAAAACTATTAACTTACAATACATTTTCACATCTGGAACTGATAAACACAAGCTCCATGCAGTTATTTATATGATATCAAGACCACAGAATATAGACAAACTTATAAAAGGAGAGAGAGAGAGAGAGAGAGAGAGAGAGAGAGAGAGAGATGTGTTTCTGGATTGTTTGCTAACAATTGAATTTCATTTCTCTTAA